TGAAGTGTGTTTGGTAGGTACAGTCCTAGCTTTCAATTATTTTCCTTTCATGTACAGACCAGAAATCGGAAAATTGCCTCCCTCATCCCATGAGATATCATGCCTAAGCCAGTTGTGATTTAGAGAAGACATAAAAATACTTGCTCAGTGTGGAAGTTGTATTTACCAATGACAATGACAGAAAAGGTAGCACCTTTAGCCTAGTGTTTACTATGAAAGAAAAAAGTCTTAAGCTTTGTATCTTCTGTTCCATTTGACTTCTTAAACCCCTACACTCTTTCTTTTCTATTCCAGGCTTGGCTTTGACTAGAAATTCCATTTTGGACCAGAGAAAACACTTCCCATCATGTCTGGTATGTACATTCCTAAAAAGGAGGACTGGTTTCAACTAATTAACATTCTCTAATGGAACAGCTACTTTGCCAGAGGATTCATGATCAGCTCTAATTTGACTTCAAGTAATTATTTGAGCAGCATGACAGCAATTACATTAGCTGTGAATGTAGCATTTCCCAAAAAGAGGGCAATAAATTAAGACTGATATAGCAAAAAAATGACAAGACCTGGCAGGGCTTGAAAGCTGCTGCTTCATGTTGCATTTCCCAGAAGACACTGACTTGGAAGGAAGGGCTGCTCTGATACCACTCCCCTTTCTGTTTCTTATACAGCCCTCAAGTGGGACAAAAGGAAGAATTATTTTCAGACAACAGAGAAAACAACTATGATTTCAGAAACCTTTTCCTCACACTTTATTTTAGGCTAAGACACCTTAGGAGTAAATTTCTTTTTCACAGAAAAGCTGCAGAGCATCTCTAAAATAGTCAAGTTTACAAGCTGACAGGAGATACGCAGTTTGGTTGTTAGACTAAAGACATGCCTTTCCTTTAGATTCTGTATCACACAAGCATTTGATTACCCTCAAATCCAAGTCAATGCCCTATTTGAGTCAAGCCTAAAATATGTGGCAAGACTAAACATTACACTTATTCAGCAAGTCTTTGGGCAACTGTCACACAAGAAGCTTCACAGCCTGCTCTTTCCACTGCTGAAAAAGCCCAGGCTCAACCCCTGCTGGAGCCTGAATTAAGGATCATAATTATCACAAGACCCAAATGGTTAGGCATTTTCTTAACCCTAAATTTTTTGGAACTTCAAAATACTTCTTTCCCACACAAAATCTGAAAGAAACAGTCCCTAAAAACAAGTTGTGGCCATTACAGGAGAAAGATACAGGAAAATTTTCTACTGCAATGCCCTGTCATTGCTCCCTCCCCATCATCTGCTAAATCAAATCAGAATTGAGAAATCTTCAGATTATGACAACCGGTGCAAGAAAAAAAAATCAAGTCTGAAGTTCTGCCTATCTAAAAAGTACATAAATAAGTACTTTTCTGAAGTCATTCCTTCATTTTTTTATGTCTCCTGTAGAGATTCCAATTTTAGATTATAAACAAGGATTCCTAATTGAAGACCTTCTAATTACTGCTTCACATTTTAAAAATTGCTTTCTTAGGTCTTCTGTAGAATCAATAGACTACACACTGTTGAAATAAGGCTTCAAATAATGCATTCTGACAATATGGGGATTTTCCGTGCAAGACTCAGTGTCTATTCCTTTATGAAACAGGCTTATTTTCTTTAAAAAGAGTGCTATGAAAATCTCAGAAGAAAGTGAATGGACTGGGTGATCTAAAAGACACATGCATATGAGTACATTTTTCTAGATGTATAATCCAGCTGCCAGAAAGAAATTTGAGACTCAAGTGATACATCAGTCCAATGATAAGTGAGCTATCATATACATTCATTGAACAAGGTAAACCAAAGTCAGCAGCTCAGAAGTTGTAAGAAACTTTCAAAGGGTAAGGTAGTCTTAAAATTCAGGGCTATTTAATCTATGAGGAAAAAGTAGCAAATGAAAATTTAGACAGTTACACAGCTTTAAAAACATCATATCCAGTCCCAATCACAAATTAAACTGAAGAACTATGAGCTCTTGTTGCACTGGTGGTCCAAAGATCATTTATTACTAGCATTTTACTGATACAAGGGTAAAGACAGGACAAGAGAGATGAGGAATTCCCTAATCACACACTGTTAAATGCTTTGCAATTTCACTGAAGGATTTATCTTTTATTTTGCCTTGTAATTAGCAGGATTATTTTGGTCTCTAGCTGGTCACGATCTTGCATTTTGCACCAAGCTTTAGCTGATTAACAACCACAAAAATGTGTATGATAAGTGGATTTAAATGCCAAAGGTGACAAAATTAACAAACTGGGGCCTGTTCCAAAATACAAATTTGCAAGAGAGGCAAACAAATAAATGAATAAATTTATTTGAATCACTGTATAGCACAGCAGGGTTCATGATCAATCAAATTTCACACTTTTTAAAGCTTTCTTCCTACCAAATGTAACAAGCTTTAGGAAGTCCTACAATGTGTCTTTCACTCCTTTTGAACAGTCTAAAATTAGATGCTAAACCACACTATTAATTCACAGAATTATGTCAGAATATAATCCTAAACCAAATGGAGACACTTCAAAATACATTTTTTTAGTTCATGTATGTTTAGTTCCAAGCAATACACACAAAAAGTATTTTCCCATGGCTCTAGCACTCACTCCTTTGATCTGCTGGTAGCATGCCTCTTCTGTGCAAGTGTTATCTATACACAAAAACTGAGGTCTGCATTGAGCAAGCAACTTTGTCAATATGGACTTTTCAACTAATCAAAATTCCTTGAAAAGTGGAAGATATTAGCTACCCTGGAACTTGGCCAGGTCTGCAAGCATCTGCAAATACTGAACACAGCCCACTTTCAATACCAAGCCCTTAAGCTGTTTCCTGAAACAGGATGCATTTGTATACATAGTGTTGTGTATTTATTTTACAACAAAAATGCTTACCAAAAAGAAAAACCCCACTGAAAAACACCTCAAAAACAAAACAAAAAAATTCCCTCCAAAACCCCAAAACAAACACACAAAACCCCCCTCCTACTCTGGGCAACTTCATGTGTATTTCTTCCAGAGACATATCAACATGATAGTAATAACTTAAAAAAAAAAAAAAAATACAAAAAATATAAAGTCAATGCAGAATTTTAATTCTAAGTGTAAATAATTGAAAGAATCACTATTGTCACATTTTCTTAGCAGATGAAACAAAAAGCAAAAATGCAACAAAATGCCCAGTTTTTTTCCTTGATGGTACCTACAGGCACAAAATACAAACTTGCCATTGTAATCATTGTAATCATGTAGGACACAGCAAAAACTCTGTCTAACTTCTGGTTTACAATAGAATAACTGGAACCATCTGGTCTGATAAAATAGCAATCCATACCACAACCAAAAAACAGTTTGTCTCTCAAAGAGTTTGTTGAGACATAAACTAAGAATATCTGGTGTACTACAAATTAGAATATGTCATTTGTGTACAGCTGCAACAAACTGGCATTATTTAGAGAACGGGAATATATTACTATACCATCCTATGTTATAAAAGCTTGGAGAAATTAATGACTTGTTTAGATATGAGTTTAAGGTCCTAATTTGCTGCATATAATTAATATTTACTGGTCAATTTCTTCTGCTTCCTACATTTTTTACATTAAACTAGATATAACAGGAATCAAGGTGCTTTCTAGCTAAAAAAGTGTAAAATAAAATAATGCAAATTAAAAAATAATAAATTAATTTAGGCAGTCTTAACTGCTAAAGAAAGCCTAGAGCAGTCTATGACATGCAGCACCCAACACCATTCAAGACAAAAATGTAAAGCGCAAATAATTTATGTGTCCAAGCTGACTGTAAACAAGTGTCTCAATGGGCTCGCCTGTCTTCAGCAAAAGAAGAATTGAAGTATTACAGCGCCAATATAAGTTCTGTTCAAGAGTTTCCTAGACTGTGTGGATGATGTAGAAAAGGGGAGATGGCTTAAAGTCAAAAGTACCTCTCTATCAATAAGTTTAGACTGCTGTTCCAGCTACCAATAAATAGTATTAAATTCAGAGGATTGGCACCTATTAACATAGGGGACAACCCTGAAAAATTATTTTCCTGAAAGTATTCTACCCAGACTAGGAGTTCTGGTGATTTTATTTTTTAATGCTCCTCTCTTACGACGCTGTCCATATTACAGTTCTGTGGTTCCTGTTCTTGCCTCTAATCACATTTTAAAAAGGAATGCCTATTTACACACACAAGCCACACCATCAAACCTTGGTTTGAAACACTACAACCATGGGTTATGTCTGAATCTGAAAGCAATTTTTGCTTCTTCAACATATGATTTATTGCCCAGTAAAGAAACAAAACACCTGTCTCTCAGTACTTTGAGCTGATCAAATAATTGAAAAGTTGATTTTCACTTTTACAGTCCCCACTATCTTAAGCTGAAGTTTGATTCATAATTTTATCATTACTTCTATATTACAGTTTATGTATGTTTTTAAAAAGATATGCAAATAGAATACCAGATTATGAAGTTACGTAAACTATTTGCTATCAAAAGATTCCTTGTGGACACTAGAGTCCTGATTTTCTAAGTTTTCTCCTATGCCTTCTCAGAAGTGGGTGCTAAATAATGTCCATTTAGTAGAATACAGTCAATGACATCTTGTTAGTCTTCAGGACAATCTCTCAAGCTATAACACCATTTAAAAAGATAACTAAATGGGTGCACTGAGATTCAACATTTCTTCTGCATCTACTATTGTATTAGCAAAGAAATGGTTAACTTAAAGAGTCTGGATGCTGAAAGACTGCTTCAAGTGTTTCATAGAAATATTTGAGCCGTTAGACTTACACCACCACACAAAGCCCTAAGGGATGGTATTGACCCCATTCCTTTGACACACCTTACAAAAACCAGGGAGTTCCTATGAATATCAAGCACAGTTTTGACGGGTCTTCCAAGAAGTTTACATTTGTTTTGTAATACTCTTTTCAAGCATTTGACCAGAAATAGTCTAATGTGAATTTTTCCCTGTAATTATTTTTTCCTACACATTTCACTAAGTTATCAGTCTGCCTTAACATGCAGACTAAGCAGCACTGGGGAGCCAAATTAGTTTCTTGAACTGTTGGTGGTCCAGAACTGCAAAAACAGTCAGCTGAACACAGCTACCAATAATTATTACCATAGATCAGATAACAAGTAATGTGCCAAGTAAAACTATATATATGTATGTATAACTTTTTGATTATATGTCATGGTACATCTGCACACAAATATTCAGATTGGAAGGACCTTTAAAATCATTTCAACATGACATAGAAAAGAAACTGTAGAATGAAGTCACTGTTATCAGTCCTCTTCAGAGCTAGATTCATCTTCCTGGTCAGAGAGCTCAGCAACAGGAAAACGCAGGATAGCTGCCACCCCTGTCAGCTGGCCCAGCTGCTCTCCAGACACATGGAGGCTGGAGAAAATGCGTACTGTGCCCATGTTCTCCCGTACGCTATCTACCAACTTCACATATCGGGCACGTGTAGCCACGTCCTGGTGCCGAAAAAGCTCATCACTGATCAGTAGGGTATCAATGGCCATGGCTTCATTGGCCTTCTCCACATGTTTCAGGCCATAAAAAGCCCGGTCAGGCTCGTGCTGCAGCATTTTATAGAAGTCATCTAAGGCTTTGACCTCACCAGCTGCCTTAGTATCAGAAAGACGGCTAGTTACAGCTGGGTCGCAGAGTGCTTCCTTCAGTGCGTATTTATGTCCTGAGGAAGAGTGGACCTAGAGTGAAAACAAAGTCAAAGGTTTGGTGTTTTTGAAGAAAAAGGACCATTTTCTTGATTAACCAACCACAAACACCCTCTATGATACGCCATATTAATCTTGAATATTATCTGGGGAACTTATCTCCTTGAAACACACATGATTCTATTCTTAATCTCTCCTGAAACCCAAAACCTAAACCAAATCCCTTAAACTGCCTTTCAAGCAACACAAGAAAACTGCCTCTCTTATTCAAAGGCTGGGACAAATATATGAGCTCAACTGTTCCTAAGGTAAGGCTACTTGAAACTACCAAGAAACTAAGATCTAAGTGTAAGCTCTCTTTTTTAAAGCATTGAAGAAAAGGAAGGCCCCTCAACACTGAAGGCATATAAAGTTAAAGCATCAACGCTGTGGAATTATTATAGTTGCAAAGTTGTGAAGTACACTAAAACTTCTGTTACCACTTTACTACACATGGAGAAGGAGGGTTCTTGGTGCACTGGGTCTCCTAAGTAGTTGGACCATTAAGCACTCAAACTCACTTCACTAGTCCTGCCCCCAGATCACCCTAGGCCTTCTTCAACCTAAAAATTATACAACTACCCTTATGGAAACCTATTTTAGGCTCTGAATATGCCTATTTCAGTATAAGGCTAAACTCCCACCCACTCAACCAATGAGATGAGTAAGAAACAAGAAAAAAAGTATAGCCTTTAACTATGTAGTACAAAACTAACAAAAAATTGTGGTTAATTTTTGTAATACAAAATTAACTAACCTATACCACATCCAGGTACTTTAAAAAAATTCTTTAGAAAGTTGTTATTAAACACATATGCTATACAATGTGACAGAGTAACAGTGCAAAGTATTTTCCACCTTGCACTTCACACTTAATTGAAGAGTAAATAAGGGAGTTTGAAATATCTAACACTTTCTCTACTTCACATTAACGTATCCCTAGTGGGAACCATCCCCGTACCATGCGTAACTTATTTACAGTTCAGGAGGCATGAGAATAATTTCCTCATGATGCTCAGTCAGAAATTTATTTCCTTTAATGACTTATTTCCCATGTAACTACCTCTTACTATCACACACAACTCCCAAGCCTCTTTTTACCCACTCTGAAGACTGCTTAGATCCTTACCTGTAGGAATTTGGACCTGTTCTCCAGCAGAAGTTTGTTGTCAGTCTTGACTGCCTGCTGGAACATGTAGTCACAAAACTGCTCCCGCACGAAGCCTGGGCTAGCCACCAGTACACACTTCACCACCTCAAAGTTGATATGCCTCTGGATGGCTTGCACCACCTGCTCGTAAAACCTCTCCAGCGCCCGGTCGTGCTGACTGCAGTTCCCTTTCCGCTTGCGGGGGATGTTCACCTCCACCTTGGCACGAGTAAGCGTCATGCTCGGGGTGACCAGACAGACGTGAGCCAACCCTTCCTGCATGACCACGGCCGCCACATCGGCGCTCCAGGCCGGGTCACAGGCCTGCTCGATGCGCTCCAGCACCACGCTGTCCCACTGCTTCTTCGCCAGGGTGAACTGCCGGTTGGGCTCCAGCTCGATGGTGTGGTAGGCGCCCATCTTCACATACTCGTTCTCTTGGATGTTCGTGCCCTTGACGCGCAGTTGGCAGGCCTGCGAGTCGAAGTCGATGGTCTCCACGCACAGGGTGAGGGTGGTGCGGATGCGGTTGCTGCCCACGCTGCCCGTGGACGACTCGGTCTGAACTTTGCGGATGGTGGAGGCGCGCAGGCTGTCACCCACCTGCAGCAGGTTGTAGGTGTGCCACATGTCCTCAGGCTCCTCGGGGATCAGCGTCACCTGCCCTGCATTATCCTTCTCCAGGTCCTTCCTCACCAGCTTCATCCTGGCGGTTCCCCGCGTCGTTCCCCGGCTTCCCCTGTGCCGCGGCGGCAGCAGGCAGCAGGCGTGCTCCGGGAGGGAAGGCTGGGGGCTGGAGCCGGCGGGACCGCACACGCCCGGACGGATGGATGGACGGACGGACGGACAGGTGGCCTTCCCGGAGCGCCCCCAACCCGCGTCCCTCCGCGCTCCCGCCGCCAACCCCAATGCGCACGCGCAGAGCCCACGGCCGCCCCAGAGCGCATGCGCACAGACCCGGCTCCCTCCTCAGGCGCCGCCGGGGCGCGCCCGGCCCCGCCCCGCTCGGTCACCGCAGGCACAGCGCATGCGCGGGGCGCCGCGCGCGGGTAACCTGGCGGCGGCTCCCGAGGCTCCGTCCTGCGGAAGGAAAAATGCCGGGGCGGTGTGAGGGCGGGGGATGGGAAGCAGCCGCGCTGCTGCAGGGTGCTGCGAGCTCTGGAAGTCGGCAACTGCCTCGCCTGGAGGGAGTCGCCCCACGTTCGTCCTTCCCCTCTACCCCTCCAGCGCTTCACAGTGGCGGTCCAAGCTCCTAAAGTGTCCTAACACCGTGCCACGCGTTTCAAAATGCGAGAGGAAAAAGCCAAACCAAAACCATACGGCCAAAGCCAGGCAGTTGTGGAAAGTTACAGGCACAGATGACGAAAGAGGCGAGAGGTACAGTCCCATGGTTCGGCGAGTGCCAAGGAGCCAGGGGACCGCAGTGCCACCCCCAGCTGCTGCCGCTGCCTGAGGCGGAGAGAGGCGGCCGTCACCCATGGGAACGAAAACCAGATACAGGCAACATCAGAACCTGAACTGTTACTTGGACACTGCTCTTAAACTGGATCCCGGTTTAAAAGGTTTTGGTTAAATTTGCAAGTTACATTTCAGCCGGTACTGAACCTTTACCGGCTGCCTTCCAGTTCTGAGATGCTCGGGAGGCAGATCAGCACGTTTTGAGCAAAGCTGGATGTTCACACATAGAAATAAGATGCCTTGGTAAAACACATATCAGTTCAATCATATTGCAAAGAAATTGGACCCGAACCATCACTACGTAGCTGAATTTGCAGCCTAGACAAATTTAACAAACCAGAAATAATGAAAAATTGTATCACTATACAAGAAGGGAGGAATATTTGAGGAGAAGGTTATGTGAGACCTAATAGCAACCTTCCAGTATCTGACAGGGAAGAGGGAAGCTGGAGAGGGATTCTTCATCAAGAACTGTAGTGACAGGACAATAAATAATGGGTACAAAATGAATGGGGAAATTTAGGTTACATAGTAGGAAGAAATTTTTCTTTGAGGGTGGTTAGACACTAGAATAGTATCTAACCCCTGGTTGCCCAGTGAGGTTGTGGTTGCCCCAACCCTTCAACAAGGGTTGAACAAGGTTCAACAAGGCCTTGAGAAAGCTGGTCTAGTGGGAATTGTCCCTACCCACGGCAGGGTGGGCTGGGACTATATGATCTTTAATGTCCATTCCAACTCTTTAAAAATCTATAATTCTATGATTCTAAGTTCTGTACCTTAATTTTGAAACAGCATGTGACGCTAAAAACTCCATTTAAGAATGAATGTTGCAAATTTAGAACAAGGAAAAGAATGATGAATAGAAAAAATGCTTGCATGAGAAATGATTTAATAAAAGTTGATTGAGACTAATGTGCCATGCTAATTGTGTCATGGCAATTCCAACAGATACATTAAGTGTGTACCAGACTGTGCACTCAGTCTGGTAACAGAAAAACATGAGGGCATCTTCTAACAGATGAGAAGGTAATTTCAAACAAACAAGGAAGTTTCTGGTTTCTATTAGCTATTTTTTTTTTTTTAATAAAAAAACAACCCACTGTGAATTATGGAATTTGCTGACTTGGAAAGGCTTTGGAGTCAAGAATTTAATGAGATACAAGGCTACTGTGAGCAAAAATAATCTCCCATTATGGTATACCTATAAATTTCTCTGAAGAATCTAGCTCTAGTCAGTTGTGACAGGACAGTGAACTCATATCTGGCCCAGTAAGTGCGTTCCTTTTCCCTAAGTTTGATACTGGTGTAAAAACAACTTTATCAGATATTACATAATAGGATTTATTTATCAGACCTCAGACTCTCTTCCTGTGAGTACACATGCTTAACTCTATTAGCATGAATAGTTTCACAGAATCAAGTAGGACCACCCAAGGGAATATAACATAGGCACATGTGTAAGTAATTGTTTAACTAGAGCTTGTGCATGCTAATAATTTTGCCTTAAAACTTTAATGCAAAAACAGAGACAGAGAACTTCTGCATTCAGCTTTTCTTTAGGAGAGAGTGTGCACTCTACTTTAAGAGTTCCTTTCACTTACCTATATAAATGCTGAATGGTGAATTTATGAAAAATTTTCTTCTTTACTTTCTTTGCAACTCTAAAGTTCCAAGGGTTGACCTCCTGCTATTCTTTCAAGAAAAAATAGTTGTGGTGCAAATTTAACTTCTACACTAAAATGTATTTTACTTTTTATTCTTTTAGTCTTGGGTATTTACAAGCTTTTCTGTGCTAATTCATTCCAGTCAAATTTTTACAAGCAGCTCACTGCTTGTAATTGAATCTCTCCCTGGAGATTCAATATATTTTTGATAAAGGTTGCAAGTTGGCATCCAGTACCATCCAGTAGAAAATTAACATTCCATTCAGGAAAATAGGTGAGTTGATGCATTAAAAAACCCTTGCAATAACACGCATGTGTGCACACACAGAGCATACACACACCCCACCCTACACACTCCAAAAACAAAAAAAACTCACAACAAACAAAACCACAACCAAAGAAGAAAGAACAACTTTGAAACAAAGTTGCCACTCAAAATATTAAATTGACGGTTGTAGAAAGAGACATTTTGATATGCATTTTTTCTCAAACAGCAAGTTGTAAGAGATTTATAGAGTTATGAACAGTGATCCACATCCATTTGCCATATTTAGTAGCAAATATAAACTTCAATGATGTATCCACTATCAGCAGGACCATTGTCAACTTAGAAAGGAAAATATTTACTAAAGATGATGCTTTGCCTACTCTGGTAAAAAGTATCTGGTATTATTACTTGTTTGAGTACGTCAAAGTATGAGCAGCAGAAGAAAAACATCTCAAAAAAAATAAGAACCATAGAAGTTTCTAAATTCATTCTAATTTTGCTAATGACAGGGAGAGAGATGAATTTGACCAAAGTAGAGCCAAAACAAGTGGGTACTTTTAACTCTTCATACATTTTTAAGATAAAAGTTCAAAATTGCACAGCCTGTTCTTGCCTTGGTAAAAGATTGAGACAATGTGCAGGACCTAACAGCTCTTTCAATAAATCACTTTTTAAAATACAGTTTTATAGGTATTAATAATTGCAGCAATTTGGCATCCATTTTTGGACCTTTTTAGGTACAATGCAAGATAAAATGAAAATGATGATAACATATATTCTAAGAGATTTTGGAGCCATGCTAGTTATCTAAGGTTATTATTCTGAAAATGTTTGAGACACACTTCCCTATATCTTCAGTTCTTGGTCAACCACTTCATGAAGATGGGTTATGTACAGATTTTAGAAAAGGAGAGGTAATTTTCATAGGAAATCCCATCTCCTCCATATTATAGCCACTTTAGCTAGAATTCATGCTAACATGCTTACATTCTGGATACGTAAAACTAATAGGAAAGAATCTCTAATATAGAGGGAAGACTTCTAAGAAATGTTGGACATTATTGTTGCAAGAGCAAAGGAAGATAAGAGAGATGCAGACGGAAACTTGGGAAAACCTCTCTTTTCATGCTTTGCCTTTGTCCTGTGGCTGTCCTGCCTCTACAGGCTCTGACCAAAGACCACTTCCTTTTCTCCATACGGTTCTGTCTTTTTCTATTTATCTTTATTTTTTTTCTGTTATAAAGATGAGTACAAGACCATCATCAACAAGGAGAGAAGTCCAGGAGGGAACAGACTTTGCATAACACTGTTAAGTGAAGAAGCTTTTAAAGGTAATGGAACCCTTTAGACTGACTTCTTCATTCCTCATCTGTTGAAATGTAAGGCTGGAGAAAACTTCATCAGATCCCCAGTCTCAGATCCCCAGTCAAACCACTTACACAGTAGCTAGCCAAAGTAACTAAACCATCCCTTATATCTGTTCATCCACCTTCATCAAAAGTCCTGGTGAGAGAGATTATGTAGGGGTGGGGTTTTTTTGGTAGCCTAGCAATTCTTTACCTGAAGAGCAAGAAAATTCTTCTGAATATTCCCTAAGATTTTTGCATAGTCAGTTACATTGATTTTCTTTTGTCTTTTGTTGGATTTGGAGAACCAAGTATTCATCGATACCTTTGGAAACCAACATATGCAATGTGGAAAGTCATGACTGACCTCACAAAACAAAGAAAATACTGACATCTGGAATAATATCCTCAGCAATAATACTTGGATAAAAAAAGATATATTTGAAGTGCTCAACATTTTGCCTTAGTTTCTTTTTTCTACTAGATAAACAAGCCTAACTAATTCAGTCTTTTGTCATATATCATTTTTCTCAGCCCTTACCAGGCTTCTCAATTCTCTGTGCACTTCTGTCTGCACATCAGACTTTCTGTGGTCAAGATCCTCAGAGGTCTTATCAAACCAAGCCAAATTAAAAAAGAACAAAAATCTATAGAAATTTACAAATATACATAACATCTCTATGTACCTCCTTCAATCTGGATTCTTTTAGTCTGCTAGGCCCTCCCAGATTATTTGCTGCTTTTAAGGAAGAGCAGCGTGTAATTTATTTTTTAATTAATTTTTAAAGTCACTATATTTCTCTTTGTGAAGAAAATCCCTTATCCATATTTTTATGATACTTTGACTTGTTTATGTAGGACTACTTCTCTTATTTATCGGTGACAATTTGAATCCTTTACCTGGTACCTGAAATGCCTTCTCTTGTCTCTAAGTCTGTTCTCTTTCCCACCAATCTTTTAAAAAAGAAACCCTCATGACACCACCACCAAAAAAGTAATCACCTGGTAAATCCAGATGAGACTTGCTCTTGAAATATTTTCCTGCCTGAAAGTAAACCTTTTTTTCATTACTGGTGAATTGTCTATCAGCATTACCAGTGGCAACTCTGCAACTCTGAAGGAAGTTGTGGCACACTAAATTGTTGCTGTTTACAAACTGTCCTTCTTTGAAGGAAC